GGCAAACTTAGATTTATTTGCTTTCCCAGAAAGCAAATAAATAACATACATGTCAACTTGTACGGATTGTCCTTAAGTTGTAAGGATTTTACATCATTTTGCAGGTATATGGACGTATAGGGCAATCTCACAGATTTTTTCAAGTCTTACTTCATTATAGTTTTTAGGACAATGCTAAGTGAAAAGGGCGCTGAGCAGAGTTACAACAAGGGATTACAAATAATTACTTTTTTTTCTTCTGCAGTTCAGCACCCCCTCCAGCAGATGGCTGTCTAGGCAACGACCTAGTTCGCCTATGCCAAGAGCCGGCTCTGGGGCAATGAAAGGAGATAGTGACAGAGTTGAGATGACCTTAAACTCCAAACAGCAGCTCTAAAGTCATTCAGCAGGTTACAGGACGGCAGATTCACATGTGCACAACACAAACTATTGTGAAACTGGATTATATTAAATTAGATTAGATTAGATTAGATTAGGATTAGGGTTAGACTAGACTAGACAGACCTTTATTGTCATTGTACAGAGCACAATGAAATTACAGTTCAGAACACCCATTCAGAAGAAGTCAGAACATAACAAATAAAGGAGAACAGGTGCTCTGGGTCATGCAGCCACAGATCCTGCACAGAACAAGGATCATCTTCATGAAGACACCATGAGGAGGCGCAACACTTAAAAGAAAAACTAAAAACCACACAAGGGAAGATGAGGAAACAAAACAAAACAAAACATCATATATCAACAATGTGAAACACTATGGTGTTTATAAAACGTGTGAACAACCAAAAACAGCTCAAAGAATAAATCATATGTGACCATATAAAGGCTGGTTTATGCTTCGAGTTGCATGTCTTGTTCCCCCTGCTGAGTGACAAAACATTGCGTAACTTCCGTCTCTTCTCCTGCTGCTATCTCCCAGTGACAGCCATCGTGTATAATGCCCCCAGTCAGAACTCTGCAAAGTGGATCTTGCGTCTCCAAGCATGTGATTGGTTAGAACTTTGTGGGTGTGTTTGTTCAAAAGCAAAGCAGTGGTCCAGCTCCCTGTGATGGACTTGCGACCTGTCCAGGTGTACCCCGCCCCTGGCACTGTGACTGCTGGATATGGGCACCAGTGACCCATGCAACCCTGAAAAGGAAGAAGCGTGTACAGAAAATGGATGGATGGATGGATGGATGGATGGTCCAGCTCCTCAGCGCTGAGGCAGCTCTTCCTTCAGTAGGTTATTTTATTTAAAATGATTTTTTGTCTGAAGCCTGTTGTTAAAAGAGCTAGAAGAGCAGCTGGTTTGATCATATTAAACACGAGCACGCAGCTGATGTTCCTGTCTTTTTTTTCATCACCACGTTAACAAAAAAAGTTTTTCCTCCGCAGACTCTTCACCTAACACAACACTGATCATTGAATTAAATAAAACCACAATATCCAGCCATTAATATTGTTTTTTATATACTTATATGAGCTGTGGGAGGGCAGAGGGAGGAATTATTATAATTTATGGTCAGCATCGTCAGCTCGTTTACTCAGTCAGGAAAAAGACATCCAAAATGACGCAATCACCGACCCACTTTCTAACGTCATTTTGAAGTATATATATAACCCAAGCTTAACAGAACCATATTTTTCCTTCTGCCGTAGTTTTAAATCTTTACCAGTTAAAAAGCTACTTTTTGTTAAAAAAAATACATAAAAAGGCTATTATTCCAAAAGAAAACTTGATACTGCTGGCTGAATTGAGGCTTTACATTTCAAACCAAGTTTGATCCACACAAATAAACATTTAGTCAACAAATGAAGCTGTAACTGTATTTGTTTATGAATCAACATCAAGAGATCTGAAAGACTTATTTAAAACTTAACCCTCCTGCTATCCTTGGGTCAAAATGACCCCTGAATTTTAATACATTTAATACTGCTGCTTCTGGGTCATTTTGACCTAGAAGCAGCAGAAAGGTTAACATTAATAGGGAGTGGTTTCACACAAAGTTAAATAAATACCTACCACATCTTTGTTTTCAAATGTTGTGGGCACAAACAATTTTAAAATGCTCAAAGAAAATGAATCAAAAAGTGTTGAAAACTTTTTTATATATACGCAGACAAGAAATTTGCCAGTACACTGATGTAGGTATTGGAACATAGCAAGAACTATGGAAGAGCTAAGAGACTGAAACACTTTTTGGAATGCTCTATGGCAAAAAAAAGTACTTCAATTTTTTGTTGATTCAACAATTTTGGTTAATGTGTACCACATCTATTCCACAGTATGTAATTACGACAGCTCACTTTCCAATCTCTGTTTCACATGCAGAGATGCATCGCAAGTCTTACTCATGGTTGCCAATTTTCCGCCATTTCTCAGGCCCATCTCCAGCCCAATCTCCTGCTACGCAGAGAGCATTCAGGGAGGAAACTGTCTTACCCCATGACAGGTGACCTAAATGATGCCATTATATTTACACCACACTCTACTAATGTTCGCATTTAGGAAAAGGTTTGTGGGGAAAAAGGTGTAAAGTCAACATCCCAGGCACAGGAAACTTATTTGTGTATTTTGTTCCATTCCCAGTCCCAGGTTTGATTGACAGCCTAGACTTAAAAGGGTAGCAGTCTTCAGTATGCAAAGACCAGGAAATGGACCATTCCCTTTCCGAAGTTGTCCGCGCAGATCTGTGCCATGTCTGGGAGGTACCATGGGATTAGATGAATTTACAACACCCTTTGTCAAAACAATGAATGGATGGTCAGCTAGATTTTGTTGCGCATCAAATTTTCAGACAACCGACTTTGAACTACAACAAAAACTAAAAATTTACTTAAGGAAAGTGAAAATGAGACACCATGGTGTAAAGTAATGTAACAAAGTAACAACAGTGGTACTTGTAACTTGCACCTTTGGTTAAAACAAATATTGCTAATAGGGCAATTAAGCAAAGACAATACAAACAACCTCAACAAAAATTACACTATTTTTTTAAAATTCCATCAATTATGAGAAAAATATGTTATCAGCAGTCCTCTTAAATTGACCTTAATTTCTGGAAATCATCTCAGGAACCCCAGCTTGATGCCACATGTCCCACAGTGGGGTATCGACCCCAACTTGAGAACACTACTGTAATGAAACATTTTTAGATACAGAAAAAAAAAAACATTTTTCTCTGCTACAAAAAGTAATGTTAATGGTGTAGAAAGCAGAAAATTGTTTTTATTTTGAAAGCTTGTTTTTTGTTCTACACACTAAATACATGCATTTACATATCTGACAGTGTGACAAATGTTTGCATGATGTCCAAAGTACAAACGCCTATGTTGAGTTCAAGCTGAGAAAAAAATACTGAAAACACTAAACCAATCCATGTGTCAGCAGGAAAAAGTAACTTGTAGAAAGGTTCTTGGAGACATGTGGCCAAAACAAATCAAGTTATGGAGTATATATATAACTCAAAAATAAATTTTTGCAGCACTACGCACAACTTAGGAAAACAATTCTCAGCAGGTACAATAAGTTTAAGGACTGGGATGTGGACTGGAGGAGGACCATTTAAGCAATTAGGTCTTTTCACAGCAAATGAATAATAAAAAAAAGAAAAAAGAAAATTCAGAGATGTCAAGATTATCACAATTTTCTACGTTACCAAGTTACCACAAACCAGACTTAGCACATGAAGCCAATAGAGGCAAAAGGGATGGTGGAACAGGAGCTCTGGGAGTCTGAAAGATCCAATAAATCACCATCTTCAAAGACCAAACCTTCATTAACATTTGACTTCCACATATCTAACACCGACTAAGATCATGAATCACTCCCTACCACCCAGCCCCCTCCCTTTAACCGTTTTAAGACGTGAGAATAGACCGATCAGTACCGTATTTGAGTCCAGAAAGGCTAGGTGAATTTAACTTACTAAACTCTACTAACACCAAAGTGTCTTGACAGATTTAAAGCCCTTCAAAAAGTTGTGACCACAAAATGAAGTAAACTGTGATGCTAAGCAGAGACTTTTTCTTTTCTTTCTCAGTCTTACCGTATTGGTGGGGTCTTCTTGGAGAATGGCATCATAGTGCTTGTTGGCCTCATCGTACCTTCAAGAAAACAAACAGAAACAAATTAAATTGAACTCTTCATCCAATCACAGTCCTTTGCGTGGGTAAAATGAGGCAGTGAGAAAAAAAAATCACACAGGGTTTAAGGTCATTAAGATTGTGTATACAGAGTGGTAAGTTTCTGATTAAAGTGAGACTACAGAAATCTATATGTCATTTAAAGGAAGAAATAAAACACTTGTTTGTTTTACTAGTCACACAGCTGACACTGTGAGGCTTGGAACACTTTGCAATGAGCCACGAATTGAGTATGAATGAGTAGTTTTCCACTATTTTATTTACCTTAAATTAAATTGCTACTCTACATCTGTCAAGACTTGCAGCTGTATCTAAAGTTTTCGACAGCTCACATTATTCTATTTAAAAAGGGTCAGTTTGAGCTTTAAGCATCAAATAATACTACAGAGCCAATTAAAAAAATGTGGATCTCACTTGTCAAGTCAAATCAGGTACTGAGGCATGATTCTTTGTTTTTTGTTTAGTTTTTTTCTATTAGACTGCAATGTTGAAGTATAAACAGTCCTACAAATAGCTCTGTTCCCACCCACAGCCTGAAACAGAGAGAAACAACTCTGCTTCCTATTAGCAATGAGCAGCCCCATTACCAACACTGATGCTTTTCTCACATTCACTTTATTACTCAGCCACACTTTAGGAGATTTCAGATGGCACCAGGTAACCACTCATGAGCCACTTTGATTTGCTTTATTTTTTTAAGAACCGAGTCGGCATGTTTGTGTTTGAGGGACTGTTCATACGGTTTGAAGTCTTGTCTGTAAGTCAATTACAGTGGGTAAAATAAGTATTGAACACGTCACCATTTTTCTCAGTACATATATTACTAGAGGTGCTAATGACATGAAATTTTCACCAGATGTYGGTAACAACCCAAGTGATCCATDCATACAAAGAAATYAAAMCATAAATGTCCAGAAATGAAGTTATTTGTAATAATGTGGAATGGCACAGRGAAAAAGTATTGAACACGTATACTGAAATTTATCTAATACTTTGTACAAAAGCCTTTGTTGGCAATGACAGCTTCAAGACGCCTCCTGTGTGGAGAAACTAGTCGCATGCATTGCTCAGGTGTGATTTTGGCCCATTCTTCCACACAAACAGTCTTCAAATCTTGAAGGTTTCCTGTGCCTCTTCTATGAACTCTGATCTTTAGTTCTTTCCATAGATTTTCTATTGGATTCAAGTCAGGTGATTGGCTGGACCATTCCAGCAGCTTTATTTTCTTTCTTTGAAACCAGTTGAGAGTTTCCTTGGCTTTGTATTTGGGGTCATTGCTGAAATGTCCAGCCACGTTTCATCTTCATCATCCTGGTATATGGAAGCAGATTTTTATCAAGAATGTCTCTGTACATTTTCCATTCATCCTTCCTTCAATTATTTGAAGTTTGCCAGTACCATATGCTGAAAAACACTCTGAAAAAAACATGCTGTCTGTCGTAACTTTCTGCTACACTCTGCACCAAGCGTCTGTGGATGAGCAGGTTTCAAAGCAGGTTTCTTCCCGGGCCTGCTCCAGCTAGTCATATGATATTACCGGAAAAACCCCATGTTTCAGCGAAAAGCCTAGATCGCTGGCTTTCAGGCACTGTTTGAATTTTTCAGATCACGCAATTATTTGAGAACTTATGGCATTTTTAAAAAACTATGTCAAAGTGTGCCGACACGCTAAGATTGGCTGAGGTGGAGGTGGACCGTTTAGTCCACGTGTCAAACACAAGGCCCGTGCTGTGTAGAGTCCCTTCCCAAAAAACGAAGAAAAAAAAAGAAATTTTTTTTTACTTAACATGAAATTTGTTTCTAATATCAATGGTAAACTTTAAATTTATGGTTAAATGCAAAAAAAATAATTTAATAAAAATAAACGAAATAAAAATAAATAAATAAAATTCCTGTCCCTGAGTCGTTGGCTTGAGCAGTTTAGTTGGACAACACAATAGTAATGTATAAGCTGCTTTAAAGTCACCATCAAACATAAACTAAATCTGCCATAATGCAGCTACTCACTAGAAACTCATCAGTGAGTAAAACTTTTTTGTTTTACTTTTAATAATATTTCTGTATTTATTACAGATTTAGTCAGTCATACACTTAGTTCTTATCAGTGTTTAAAAGAGGACGTGTTAAAACTCTGTTTAGTCGAAGTTAAACATGAAACATCAAAGTTAATTACAAGTGGCCCTTCGAGGGCCACCTTAACGCTCATGTGGCCCTCGGTGAAAATGAGTTTGACACCCCTGGTTTAGTTCAATCGCCTCGTTCAAAAAGCCGGAAATCCAGCCCCTGGCCGGAGCTCTTTAAGCCGTGGCCCTTGTGTTTGATGTAATTGTCCTGTTGAAAAATAAATGATGGTCCAACTAAACGCAAACCGGATGGAATAGCATGCCGCTGCAAGATGCTGTGGTAGCCATGCTGGTTCAGTATGCCCTCAATTTTGAATAAATCCTCAACAGTGTCACCAGCAAAGCAACCCCACACCATCACACCTCCTCTTCCATGCTTCACGGTGGGAACCAGGCATGTAGAGTCCATCCGTTCACCTTTTCTGCGTCGCACAAAGACACGGTGGTTGGAACCAAAGATCTCAAATTTGGACTCATCAGACCAAAGCACAGATTTCCACTGGTCTAATGTCCATTCCTTTTGTCCTTTAGCCCAAACAAGTCTCTTCTGCTTGTTGCCTGTCATTAGCAGTAGTTTCCTAGCAGCTATTTTACCATGAAGGCCTGATTCACACAGTCTCCTCTTAAAAGTTATTCTAGAGATGTGTCTGCTGCTAGAACTCTGTGTGGCATTGACCTGCTCTCTAATCTGAGCTGCAGTTAACCTGCGATTTCTGAGGCTGGTGACTCAGATGAACTTATCTTCTGCAGCAGAGGTGACTCTTGGTCTTCCTTTCCTGGGGTAGTCCTCATGTGAGCCAGTTTGTAGGGCTTGATGGTTTTTGAGACTGCACTTGGGGACACTTTCAAAGTTTTCCCAATTTTTCGGACTGACTAACCTTCATTTCTTAAAGTAATGATGGCCACTCGTTTTTCTTTACTTAGCTGCTTTTTTCTTGCCATTATACAAATTCTAACATTCAGTAGGACTATCATCTGTGTACTGTATCCACCTTCTGCAGAACACAACTGATGGTCCCAACCCCATTTATAAGGCAAAAAATCCCACTTATTAAACCTGACAGGGCACATCTGTGAAGTGAAAACCATTTCAGGTGACTACTTCTTGAAGCTCATCAAGAGAATGCCAAGAGTGTACGAAGCAGTAATCAAAGCAAAATGTGGCTACTTTGAAGAACCTAGAATATAAGACATATTTTCAGTTGTTTCACATTTTTTTGTTTAGTATATAATTCCACGTGTTAATTCATAGTTTTGATTCCTTCAATGTGAATCTACAATTTTCATAGTCATGAAAATAAAGAGAATTCTTTGAATGAGAAGTTGTGTCCTAACTTTTGGGCTGTACTGTGTATATAATATTTCGTGAAACACTGACAGTATCCCTGAGAGTGAACACCTGCCCTGAAGACTCGGTTATAGTCACACTTTGGGTACTGGCGCGCTGTCATCAGCGGTGTTGGAGGTGTTTATAATTGGAGCTTACGTTGTTGTAGTATTCTCCAAAAGGACACGCGAGAGTACTTTGTAACTTATGAAATGCTGTAAAATGTTGAAAGAACTGTCAGCTTAAAATCTGGCTGGCTTTAAGAAGTATTTTTTTCTCCTTTCATTTTTGCAAATGACGGTCAACCGTTGCTGACGAGAACTTTAATTTATATCTTTTTTTCCTTGGTTGGCCACCGGACAACCAGGAGGTGGGATCTGGTTGTCTAAAACGAAAATAGGTTGTCTCGGACAACTCAAATAACGCTTAAGTC